GGTTGAGTAACTTTGTAACTTTTGCCATTCCTATGTGGGTAACAGGCACTACTTCCGCATTGGGTAGAGCTACTGTGGCTAAGATATCGACTTGAATGGAGTGGAACAAAGATTTAGAATAGATCATATGACCTGTATCTCATGTATCTAAGATCCATGAAATATCATAAGTTCTAGGAAGTTTAGAATATAAGGCGGATAAAGAACATATACCAGACATCTTGTAATCAATATAAGAAGACATAAGCACGCTTTGAGCATTGTTAGCTGAATAGGTGGAACTTTGAATACTAGGGGCAGATTTTAAGAATGGCAAAAGCTGTGAAAAGTGCTCCTGAGTCAATAGCATCTAAGATTTGTCTCTTATATTTTCCTAATCAGAAGTTGCACCTGTATCAACATAATTTGTCATAGGTCATTTAGTTTGAAACACCTATTGGCTGTGTAGCCTGGCATTTGACAATATGATCATGTGGGTTTATTTGTATTGTCCTTGAAGCACCTTTCTAGAGAATGCAATGGGATCTTACAGTAGGTACAATAGTACCTATCCATTTTCTATGATCCACTAGATTGTCTATCAGTATTACTTCTTAGAAAAGCCATAGAGTCATTACTCAAACCAGCATTAGATATCTCCCTCATTTTCTCTTCTTGTTGGACGATAGAGTAAACTTCATTTAGGCTAGGAAAGGGCTTGATTAACAGAATATGAGACTTTATTCCTTTGTAAGAATCATTAAGGCCCATTAGAAATTTCATCACCTAATCTTGTTGCTGATTTTCAATGACCATCTTCAAACCTCCACAGGTGCAATTGGGAATAAACTCATAGTTCATCAATTCATCAAGCAAGGTTTTCAGCTTAGAGAAGTACACACTTACAAGATCTTGGTTCTGCAACAAGGCTGTAATTCCCTGTTTCACTTAAAAAATATTTGGTGCATTTTGTTAAGCAAAACGTTGCTCTAATTTCAGCTACAGTTGATGAGTAGTTTCCGCATAAACTGTGCTGCGTTTGATGTCCACTGCCATGGTTTTTTTTCATCCAAGTTATTTCTATATCATTGCACCACAACTAGTATTCCATTAGGGGATCATTGTGGTCTGATGGCTCACGAATACTGCCATCTATGAATCCTATTTTTTTTTAATACGCAGAGCTCTCTTCATGGATCTAGCCCATGAGTGGTAGTTATTTGAATCCAGAGTGTGTGTCACCAGTATTGCACCCTAGCCGTCACTACAACCAATGTAAAAAGGACTTGTAGGCTAAGTTGGATCATGAATAGTATGTGTTAATGGATTTTGATTATCAGCTAGACGCTGTTCATCATGATGGAAAGAAAAATTTTGATTGCTTGATTATTCTATGGCACTGATACTGTATAAAATTTAAATGTGTAATAGTAAACAAATAGAAGAAGATTTAGTGGAAGAAAGACTCTTATCCTTTCATTTCTTTCTTGCCAAAAATAATTACAATGCATAGGTATTTATAATGCAAATGAAATCAAATAAAGAATCAAATAACAAAATTTTCTCCATGTGCAATGCGCCAGAGAATAAGTTAATTTGCAACCATTTTTTCTTCTATCCTTCTTCTAGAATCTCCAGCTGTCTACATTTTGGATGGTTCTCATTTTCATCTGTTGCAAGCTCCTTCAGATTAACATGCTGATTTGTGGTCCTGCTTCTGCTCAATTCGGTTGGCTCAACTTTAGTTTCTTTTGTATTCACTTGATCAGCTTCAGCCTTGTTTCTTAATAGCCCCCCACAAGGTGGATAGTAGATATCTACTACTCCCATCATGGATATACATGAATAAAAATCTTGAGAACCTAAGTTCTTAGTAAGGGTATCTGCCACCTGAGACTTACTAGTCACATACTCAGTTGTAATGCTCCCTTCTTGAAATTTATCTCAGA